CTGGTCCCTTCAGCCTCCTCCCCTCTGCTCCAGCAGTTTAAGGTCCCATGAGTCACCATGTCCAATACATAGTGTATAGGATGTGAGGATGCCGAGGGACATACCATTGCTGGAGGAGGAAGAGACTGGAGGAGGCGCTTTCACGGCTGGCTCTGAGGTTCAGGTGAGTATAACTTTATTTTAGCACCCAGCCCAAAATGAGCACTTAAGTGGTATTAAACTCTTGTTTGAGGGGGGGTGCATATATCTACTGCTAGGAAGCAGTAGATATATGCAAAAGCATTTTTTTTAAAATCAAAAAGTTACTAAAAAGAATATTGCTCACCTGTGTTTCCGCCGCTTGCTCCTGTTTGAAGATCAGAAGCTTTTTGAGCGGCTGTGCAGGATGATGGCACATGCCCAGTAGAGACCTTTGGCAGGGAGAAGTGGAGAGACGCAGGAGTTGAATGCCAGCAGCGTGCACGTCGGATCGGAGACCGGCACCAGCACTGGAGGGAGATGATGATCGGAGGCATCATGTAAGGTAAGTCCTTAAAGCAGCATGGGTGGGGGTGGAGGGAAAAAGAAAAATGTGTGACTTTAATGTCACTTTAACCTTTGCAGTGCAGAGATAGCCCTAGTGCAATGGTTAAGAAAAGTTTTTTTGCCCGGAGTTCTTCTTTAATGAATGGTGCCGTGGCCGGAGATGGGGCACACTTCATCAGTGGTCTTTTATTTCTACTGTGTGAATAAAAAAAAAAAAAAAAAAAAACGGTTTTGTCTGGACTTTAGTTTTAACAGGCGCAACTGGAATGTGCAAAGGTTGGCAGGAACAGAGATGGGAATTATGGCAAGGAAATCTAAAGCTGGCCATGCACTAGGTTCAAAAAAAGTGTTCCAGGAACGTTTGTTCGATTTTCCAATAGTAAATAGGGTCAAATCAACAATCATTTTCAACCATAACGAGGAAAAAAAAAATTGAAGGCGCGGGCTAGACATTTTTTCTCGAATGAACGGAATTCTAATAGTGAATGTGGTTTTTGCTCGGGAAACTCCATTCATTTCAAAATCGAATAGTAGTGACATTAAAGGAAATCCTCCCCCCCCCGCATTGCCCTTTGTAAGCACTTACCTTGTCCGATGCCACCTGCTGCGATCGTCTTCTTCCTTCCACTTGTGTACGACAGTCCCTCCAGCGCTGGTGTCAGTCTCTGATCCACCGCAGACTCCTCGTGTCTTACGGTGTCTGTCCGACGTGTGCGCACCTGGCTGCGTCCATTGAGCTTCATTGTGTTTTCTTCCCCTCCCCTCTACTGTGCATGCGCCCGCTCACTTCTTCTTCACAGCCGTTCGGGAGCCAGGAGTGCTTCAGCCGGGAGCGAACGGCGCTGACTCAGATGAGTAATTAGGTATTTGCCTAATTTTTTTTAAATTATGGGGCACATATCTACTGCTTGCTGTCAGTAGATATACAGTATGCCAAAATAAGAGAGACTGTAATTAATTATACTTTAAAGTCAAACAATAAATTCGATTGGCATTCATCCAGTCTCTAGGAGTAATATCGACGAGATTTTTCATATCAACCTTCGTATGAAAATCTACCAGTGTACGGCCAGCTTTACTCTTGGAGTATCCCAGATGTATAAGAAGACAGAAGCCATGGACTTAGCCCACCATGTTCCACCTATAACTAAAATATCACTCTTGTATTTCTAAGCCAGAGCAGACAGTAATGAGGGAAAGGTGAATGGCTTCTGGGAGAAAACGCTGACAGATCTTCTTCCAGCAACCTTGATCAGACGGCCTGTCTGCTCTCCTGTATAGTGTGGAATCTTCAGCAGTGACGGAGGTGGCCGCTTGCTTTGCCTAACAGAAAGTATTTTGAAGAGGTTACGTCATGTCGGTCTTGGCAGGGCCTGTGGCCAGATGTTATTAGTCTGTTGATCTGGGTACATGTCAGTCTTCGGGATGGAAATACACAATGTTTACAGATCTCGCTCTCTTATTTAATTGTTACATAATTATTTTGCTTCTGTCTGATACTAGTGATTGTTGCAACAACAGCAAATATTGTCTCTGCATGATTGTCAAAGGGCAACATGTACTGTCTGCAAACACTTGTATGTCTATACCGATGATTGTCAACTTAGGACGCATAGAGCGACTCAACTGTGGCCCCTCGCATCACTAAGGCCTGGTTCACACCTAGGAGTTTTTGAGCAGTTCGAAAAGCGCTTTTAAATGCCCAACACAAGAAATCCCTATATTTTCAATGGCCCTGGTTCACACCTGAGCAGAATAACGCCAGCAGGAAAAAGCCAAACTCCCGGAAAAGTACATGAGCTTCTTTGGGCAGTTAAAAGCGTGTTTTTGCCCCAATGGAAATGCCAAAAAGATGCACAACAGAAGCATGTTGCACATTTTCGTGAGCGTTTTTGCGTTCTTCCATTGCCCGCAATGTTTCATGACCTGCCAGTCAAAACAATGTTGTCTTCATGTCTTCATGTATGCATGTAAAACGCGCATCAAAATGTGCACAACGCGCATAAACGCGCAAATAACCGCATGCTGCTAACGCGCGTACAAATGGTGCCGACCTAGGTGTGAACCAGGCCTAATGGGCCATGCAAATTAATCTCAATATGGAGTTCTAGAGAGGACTGTCAGATAATGGGGACATCATAGCCAAAATAATGGGGACATGCTGCAGGTTTGGTGACAGACTGGGGACATGCTGCAGGTTTGGTACCAGACTGGGGACATGCTGTAGGTTTGATGGCAGACTGGGGATATGCTGCAAGTTTGGTGGCGGACTGGGGACATGCTGCAAGTTTGGTGGCAGACTAGGCACATGCTGCAGGTATGGTGGCAGACTGGGGACATGCTGCAGATATGGTTGGAGACATGTTATACAAGACTAATAGAGACCACTGCTATTATCCCCACACATATATGTTACCACTCCCACTACAGACTGCTGGGGTCAAAGAGCCGCACAACCAGTACCAAAGGGTGGGCACTAGAGGTCTATATAAATGATTTCCATTCATAATGCAGGCACCTTATTGTTCGTTATTTAGAGATGTCTATAGCATGCACTAGAGGTATTCCACTTCTAAAGGGATGCAGGTGCTGCAGATTTTCTCACAGGTGGTTGTAATCAGGGGTGACCTCCCATTCAGTGTGAGAATGGACATGGGGAAACACTGCAATTTCTTCAGCTGTGGGAAAGGTATGACTTTACTAAAAGATTTATCAAAATCCTACGTTGTATAGAGATCACTTGAAGGGGTTCTTATTTTTCTTAACACTGGTGGTCACTTGCTTGGACCTCCCCCACCTCACTCTTGCATCATTCTGTTGGTTACAGAGGGTGTCCATCAAGGATACAGAAGGTGCTGGATTGGGGCCAATGACAGCTGAAGCTAGTTGTTTTTTTCATAATAGAGTGCTCTGGTTTTGGTCCCTGAATGCTATACAGGGGGATACGTTTGGAAAGCCTGGGATAAAGCTACTATGCAAGCTCCTGATGGGGAAGGGGGGCATACCTAATGTTTGGAGTAAATATCAATTTTCATTAATCTATAGGCCTGCAGTTTTTGTATCATATTTACAGGTGAACAGGTGAAAACCCATGTTTGCCTATGGGCATGGTTCTCGCCTGCGCGTTTTACTGCGCGGTAAAACGCCATACGCCCAAAGAAGTACGGGAGCTTCTTTGGGGGCGTATTAACGCGCGTATCTGGCTGTATCCATAAGGATACAGCCGGATACCCCCTCAGAAACTCGCGGTGTCCGTGCGTTTCTTTTACCGCAAATCGGGGTAAAACCGCACGGTAAGAAACGCGCGGCAAACGCAAGTTTCCAATACACTAAGGTGTGAACCCAGCCTTAGGGGATGTTACTCCTGCCTTATACCACTAGGGTCCTTGGTTTGAATCCCAACTGAGACACTTCCTGCATGGAGATTGTTTTCCCTGTCCTTGCGTGGGTTTCCTCCAGACACTCCAAAGACATGCTGGTAGCTTATTGGTTCCTGTCTTAACTGGCTTGTAAGGTGCTGCATACATTGCGCTATATGAATATCTGTAGTAATCATTTCAAGCAGTTTCCTTGTAACATTTTGTTGTGGATGGTCGGTCATCTGGTCTGTTGCATTAATTACACCCATTACTCATGGTGTTGGTTTTGCTGAGACAACTGTACTCTTTGTTTACATTGGAATTTCAAGGACCTTCAGTTCTAGGTAGGTGACCTGAGCTTTATGCTTGGACAAAATATCTCTCCTTCATCATAAAGATAAATAACCCTTAGTAGCTAACAAGCTAGTTATTAACAGTATGACACTAGAATGGATGCTTGCTGTACTGGAGAGAATTTCCATATCTTTTGTACATTTATGTAAAAAGATATGTAAATATTCAGGGAAAGGCCAGAATAAGAGAAACATTATAGTCGACCAAAAAAAAAAAAGAATCCTTCTGCTACTTTCCCATAAAAAATGATTAATGTTTATACGGTTATAATTGGTAACTGTGCATGATTTTTCTCAAATGTCTTGCAGTTTCTGTATTTTATTAGGTTAGCTAGTGGTCCATCACCAGTTCACAATACAAGTGAAAGATTAGAAAATATGTGTATGTTCTGATTGGAAAAATAGACTGTTAGAGTTGGGATGAGCAGCTCCGGCCCTCCAGCTGTTGTGGAACTACAAGTCCCATGAAGCATTGCAAGACTGACAGTTACAGGCATGACTCAAGAGGCAGAGCATGGTGGGATTTGTAGTTAAAGCAAAGCTGGGGGGCTGGAGTTGCCCATCCCTGTCTTAGATTCAGCTTAATGCCCAACTCCAGCTTCTGGGCTTCTTTTACTAGTCTTCAATGTCTTGCTCACTCCTTGGTTAAAGTTGAACTCCGGGCAGATATAGGATATGCCAATTCATGCAGTTAGGTATTTATTAAAGTGACCTTGTCACCTCAGAGTCACTTGTAAAGTAGCCCTAAAAGAAGAACATCCATATGGTGGTCCGTGTCTTCAAACTTTGGCACTTTGCTGCTCCCTGGCTGGTGCAGGTATCCCTCACTTCTGGATGTGTTAAATGCCTACTTCTTCTGACGATACCTGGTACTCATTGAAAGAACTACTAAGTGTCCTCTGAATGGCTGCTGTAATCAGCTGATTAGGACATATACTAACCACCTCCCGTGACCCAAAGCTCAGTATATAGCGGGCTATTGCCTGCGATATACTGAGAGCGCCGCAGCCAAGACAGGTCCCGACAATACTATCGTAATCCACCCAGCTGCGTGAGTAACAGCTGGCTCTTCCTATCTAGAGGCAGAGCTGGCTGTGCCCGCCCCCTCGCTGTCTGTTCCTCCAGTCAGCGCTGGAGGATCGGAGAGGGGAGGGCGGGAATCCCTGAGGGGATCGGTGACTGACAGTCACCACTCACTGCAGGGGATGATCGGGAAGTGAGCGGGTCGGCAGCATGTTTCTGCTCACTTCTCGATCAATAGAGCCGACCTGTGACAGCCTCTTTGTCACAGGTCGGCTCTAACTATGAGAATGAGTGGAAAGGTACTTTACTACTTTAAGGTAGTCATACACGGCTCAAATTGCGGCCCATTACTTCTGAATCAAGCCGTGGGTGGCCCCGTCAGCATCACCCAGCTCAACAAACTTCCAATGAGAAATCAAAGGAGGCAGGTGGAAAACTGTTGGCCAGTCTACAGACTATTGTTTCCTAGGGGGTGGCAGTCTCATCGTTCTCACCAGTGGATATGCACATCGCTTTGATATACAAGCGCTTTGGATTACAAGCATGCTTCCGGAACGAATAATGCTCGTAAACCAAGGTATTACTGTAATTAAACAGGTGGTCTAATTGGACGTTCTAATATTCTGGACCAAATTCTTTGTGTCCTTTCATGTCTTGGATAAATCCTCAACTAGCCATCAGCTGTAAATACAAGGCCTTTCTTTGTGCTTGGATCTCTGTGCGGTATTTTATAGGTCCTGCTAATATCTAAGTAATGATGGTTTTAGTTCTTTTACCCAGCGCATTGACATTTTATCTCGTAGGGGAAATAAAAATAAAAAAACACAAACTGATCTCAAATGTTCTTCGCCTGCTCAGTGGTGATCTGCATTCTCTTCTTTGACAATATTCCAATATAAGTTGAGTTGGTGGATGGAAAGTACAACTTCAGAAATAGTATACGCCGCCCACTTGTGACCAGCTTGGAGAACCTATTGCTTCATTTGCTAACATAACAAAAAATCCCAAGAGTAATTGTCACATTTAACCCACTGGATGCCTCTGGGTAGTCAACTGTACTCTAGAAATACAGAACATATAAGTAATACAAAGTATACCAAAAAGCCTATATTGGAAGATGTTAGTCCCTAAAATATTGTATTCTGGTAACTGAATGTAGTTAATACATGTGATGGTACTATGCAGTATATGTATATTTGACCTGTCTTTATATTTTCTCCATTTTTGCATGCAGACCAAGCTGTCCAGAAAACTTGATATTTATAGGGGTTGAGACAATCTGGAACACTGTCCGGTCTTCATGAGCAGTTGCAAAAACAGTTTTTATTTCCTTTGAAAGGAAATGTAAGCTAGTAGAATAAAGTTCACTGTTTTCATTGAATTTAGAACGGTCATTTCAGCAGTCAGCGGATATGCGAAGTTCATTGCAGATGTATAGTATTATTAAAGCAGAACTCTGGGGAAAGGTAATTTTAACCCTTGCAGTGGGTCTTCCCGCCACATTGCAAGGTTTAAGTGCTTGTTTTGGTCTAGGGAGGAAAATAACATAGTTATACTCACCAGATCTTCTGAGATGGCCGACTGTGACAGTGTTCCCTCCTGCCTGTCTCTTCCTCCGCTGCAGTGATGGTATGTTTCTTGGCGTCCTTACGTCTTATACACAGTGTATTGGGCGTGATGATTCACAGGACCTCAGACCGCTGCAGCAGAGGGGAAGAGAGAGGCTCCAGGAACTGGTCTAAGAGCAAGCCAGCTTCGAGGTTCAGGTGAGTATAACTTTTTTTTTTTACACCCGAGACTAGTGGTGTACCTCACACATCACCCTCTGCATGGGATGATTCTCCAGCAAGTTGGACAATCATTTTATAGAAATCTGCGATTTCTGACCTTTCTGGTTGCTCTCCACTGACAGTTCGATATCAGAGTCTGCACAGTGATCTCCTTGGGAGCCACTGACAGCCCCATTATCCAGCTCTGCTTTGTTTCTCCCAGCACCTGCCCGCATGGCTCTCCCCTGTCCTACCGCAACGGCTGCATCGACGGTAGGTCCACCCCTGGGGGGGAGCCCTCCCGGTACCAGCACTTACCTCCCGTTCATGTGTCATTTACTGCTGTTTGACTGCAGAAACTTTCCTCCCACGCTCCTCTCTCTGCTCCTCCCCGGCCACAGCTGCTGCAGTCACATCTGATGGCGCGTGTGGAAATCTGACACTGCTGCTCTAGGAGGTGGAGAATCTCGCCTAGCGCAGCAGAAGGCACGCAGCGACCCCCTCAACAGGGGGTTGTGACCCACAGGTTGAGAACCACTGTCCTAGACAAAAATGGGTACCTAACCCTTGCAGTGCAGGGGTAGCCCCACTGCAAGGGTTAATAAAATAATTCCCTGGAGTTCTACTCTAAACTCCTTGGCGGTATTCCCGAGTGTGGCTCGGGGTTAATTTTCAGTACCATAAGCGGTAACCCCCAGCCACACTCGGGATTACAGTGTAGCGTCTCTTACCTTGTCCACGATCCTCGCTGTGTCCTCCGGCCGATGCCGGCATCCGGGTTCCGTCACTTGCGAGCGTCTGCGTCAGCAGGGGGGCAGAACCGGCGGGAATTTTAAAAGTAAAAAAAAAACAAAAGAAAGATAGAACAAAAAAGGAAAAACATTAAAAATAATCAGACCACCAGGGGGGTTAAGTAAGAGCAAAAATGTTGCATATTTTCAGTGTTTAGGGTTTGTTCGCACCAGGGCGCTTAACGCAAAAGGCACATAGAAAACAATTGTGCCCAATTCATACCATAAATGTGCATTGGCATATAGGCATGCATGCTGTATTTTTGCACACCACAGTGCCCAGCAACGTTTCACACCGCCCCTACACAACACACACCAGAGCATAATGCGCACGGGCCATTAGAATATGTGAAAAATGCCAGTCAATTAATTGCTAACACAGTGCATTTTATTAATGAATAATACTGATAATGTTAAAGAAAGGCTCAATATACATTTGACAATCATTGCCTGGATTTATTCTACTGAATTTACATGTAGTTACATTGTAGTTAAGGTTGGAAAAAGACACAGGTCAAGCCAGTCCAGCCTGTCCACTTTAAAGCACCTTAAAGTGTGCTTAAGGCATGCTAAAGTGACTTTTCTTGAATTATTATTGCATGGCTTAAGCACTAATTGGCACTCCTTGGGGGCCCATTTGTTGCTTACTCGTATATGTTAACACATGCATTTCGTACCTTGAGCTGAACTCCAGCCTTCCTCCTTGTCTTGCACAGTTGTACCGGCTCCTCTCCTGGACTGAAATTGCTTATTCTGATTTCACTGCACACTGTGAGCTTCTTATAATGTGCATCATAAGTCACATAGAGCCCCCCTCATGTCCTGGGTGGAGGACGTTCAGCATCATTAAGCCTTTCCAGCCTAATTGTCCCTGGCCTGCCACTTTTATTTATTGGATTTTCAATCATGGAGGCTCAACATGACATGTGGGTGGTTCCTAGGACAGTCTACCTGCATAAAGTCTGCCTAGAAACGTCCACTCACTGACATCCACCCATCAAGGCATTTTGATATCTACATCATTGATATCTACAACTCCTCCCAAGAACCAGCCCACTGCTCGCATTTTTTAATGGGCTGTGAAAGCACCTCATTGCACAACAAACCCATACCTGCACTATCTTAGAGTATTTACATCTGTGTGTTCTGGTGTGGTATAGCGAAGGTACTTTATTATTTATTTTTATTTTTTAACTATATACATATGTTTTCGTGCACCACAACACACACATACTTTCGTGTACTGCTGCAGTGCACACATGTGAATCCAGAGCTCCTTTCAGCTTACATGTACTCCTACTGCCAGCCTCATTTCAGCTTTCATTTTGTGTGCAGCAAGTAAATATATAGAACATTATAATGTAATTGCCCTAACTAAATTGTAAATATGATTCCATGACATTTGAAGGAATGCATTAGGTAACTAATGAGCTCTTTATCTCTTTGTTCGGACTTGTTCAATTGCCGTGATCATAGCTACGGAGCAGCTGTCGGTGTGTTGATGGACATTTCTGATGTCTAAGTACTTGTATGGGGATCTAATCTAATATTGTGTGTGGGAAGGAAAATGTTGCTTGTGTACAATGTGGCTTTTTCTCTTCTTAGTTGTGACTAATAGGGTCAGTTTTGGCAGCCAAATACCATTGCAGCTGCCCATGAACCAAACCCATTGCAGCTGCCCAGCCATTCCCTGGCACAGGCCAAAATAAGGCTGGGAGGTGCCAACACTCACCGTGTCCTGCTACATGTAATGCGGCTAGGGCTGGATGTAGCCTGAAATAAATAAAACAAACAATCTAAAAATGTACAAATACAGCTAAACATAAAAATATGTTAATAAGCACACAGAGAATGCTAATCTTTTTAGGACAGTGAAGCTTATTAGGAAATTATCACATCTCTGTTTACAGGTTAAGATTGTTAAATGCTTATTTTTAATGGATCAATGAGGCTTGGCAACTTGTACAATATTTATTATGTCCTTCAAAGCTTTTTTCAGCTGTACACCTATCAGCCATAACATTATGACCACTGACAGGTGAAGGGAATAACATTGATTATCTGGTTACAATGATACCTAAAAGTGGGTGGGATATATTAAGCAAGTGTAAACGTGGCCATACACTTTACAACCATCGCAAGACCTTAGTCTTGCGATGGTTGTAAAGTAATTAAAAAAACGTACAATACGCCCATCTTAGACAGGCAGATCGTACTTGCGATCATCGCAAGCCCGCCCCCCTGAGGGGCGGGCTTCCGATGACATCAAAGCTGAACGGGCAGTGTGCCCGTTCGCACACCGGCCCGTTCGGCATTTGTCTCCCAAGCATCATTCAAACCAGCCAAAAATCGTAAGATTTTCGGCTGGTTTTCTAGCTTGCTCCTTAGACAAAAGACGTGCGACCGTACAGTAGAAAAGGTCGCACGTCTTCATTCGCACTGCGCGATTCTCGTACGATCGCGGGATTTCCCGCAATTCTCCTACGAGAACCGTGCAGTGTATGGGCACCTTAAGGATTTAAGCAACTTTGACTAGGGCCAAATTGTGATGGCTGGACAACTGGGTCAGATCAACTCCAAAACTGCAGCTCTTGTGGGATGTTACTGGTTTGCAGTGGTCAGGACCTACCAAAAGTGGTCCAAGGAAGGAAAACCGTTGAACCGGCAATAGGGTCATGGACGGCCAAGGCTCATTGGTGCATGTGGGGAGCGAAGGCTGGCCTGGTTATTATTTGGTGCTACTCTTTGCTGAATTCTGGACCAGTCATCGACAGAAAAGGGGGACCTGTGACCTCTCATGATTGGATTGAAGACCCCAGGAAAAGAGGGTATATACATAGATAAAGGGAGGAATGCTGAAAGGGGTAGGGGGACATGAAATTAGTTTTTAAGGGAGTGATTGCACTGAGCCACTGAAAGCTTCATCAAGCCCTGGTCCTCTTTGACACTGGGTGGTATTCAACCCAATTCCTCTGTGCCTGGAGCATCAAGGCCCACCCTTCTAGACATATATCATTAAGCCAGGCTGTATTCCCAAGAGCATGCTGCAGGGAATCGGAGCGCGTCATTATTTGGTGCTATTCTTTGCAGATTTCAGGACCAGTCCCAACAGAAAAGGGGGACCTGTAACACTGGATCAAAGACCCCAGGAAAAAAAGAATGTATACATAGATAAAGATGGTGCGAGTGGGGGATGCTGTAAGGGGACCTAAAATTGGGCTTTAAGGGAGTGACAGAGTGATTGCACTGAGCCACTGAAAGCTCCCTCTAGTCCTTCTCCTCTTCTGGGTTGAATGATGACACCCAGCATCATACAACCCAATTCCTGGTGCCAAGGTTTGCCCTTATTGGCGTATGTCATCAAGCCAGGCTGGACTCAAAGGATATTCCTGCAGGGAATGGGGACGCCTCATTACTGGGTGCTATTTTTTACCCAATTCAGGGCCAGTCACCACTCGAAAAAGGGGACCTGTGACCTCTCATGACTGGATTGCAGGCCCCAGGAAAAAAGAATGTATACATAAGTAAACGTGGGAATTGTGAGGGGGTGCTGAAAAGGAGTAGGGAGACCTGAAATAGGGCTTGAAGGCAGGGGCGTATCTGCCGTGAGGCAAACAAGGCGTTTGCCTGGAGCGGCAGATTCCCAGAGGGCGGCAATTGCTGCGGGGAGAGAAGATTGAAAGAAGGGGAGAGAACCTTAGGACATCGTAGCGGCAGTGACGCGGGTTGCGGGCCGGGAACGTGGACGGCTTATTGCGTGGACTGCGGCTCCCGGCGGTAACCATACATCGGACGGCGCTGGTTTGACTGCTCCGGTGAGTGATCGTCAGGGGGGCGGGGGTTGTTGTGTTGTTTGATGATGGCGAGGCGGCGGCTCATGATGTCTGCTGGGGGGAGGGGGATTGTTGTTTGCTGATGGCGAGGCCGCGGCTCATGATTTCAGCCCCCTTGGTGCTGTCGGCCCGTCCACCGAAATGTTAGTGGGGGGGGGGGGGTCGCTGTCCTGCCTAAGGCAGCAGGTTTCCTAAATACACCGCTGCTTGAAGGGAGTGATTGCACTGAGCCACTGAAAGCTTCCTCTAGCCCTGGCCCTCTTCTGTCATTTAACCCATTTCCTCTGAGCCCAGGGTGTATGTCATTAATCCAGGCTGGGATCAAAAGAGAATGCTGTAGGGAACAGGAATGCGTCATTATGTGACTTGAATTCAGGAGTAGTGACCACAGGAAAAGAGGGGGGGGGGGGCTGAGTTGTCTCATGACCAGATTGAAGACCCCAGGAAAAAAAGGTATGTACAGAAATAAAAAAAAGAATAACAATAAAGGTGGTGGAAGTGAGGGATGCTGAAAGCGGTAGGAGAACCTGGCAATGGGCTTTAAGGGAGTGACAGAGTGATTGCACTGAGCCATTGAAAACTCCCGCTAGTGATTACATTTGTGCATTTGACACAATATCAGACTTGAGTTTGTCAGCATGATGGAAGA